CTGTAAGTACAGATTAATTTCTGTCTAGACTGGTTTCTGTCTAGTAGCTTATGTCACTTACTCAAGAAGTTTTTTTGTTTCATACAGCTTAGCTGAATTTACAGGAAAAACTATTATGCTAAATGTATTTCGCTCCTATCATATATAATTTCGCAGAAGACATTAAAATACAGAACTGATAATAATGAGAGAAAGTATTTTTAATACAAGTGCTGGCAAAGTCAGTGAGAAACAAAATAATTCCATTTTTCTCCTAAAACAGTATTTAAATAAGCACATTTTATTTTGGACCTGAGAGAATTAGAGAATAACAGGTAAATGTCAAAGGGTAGACGTGCTTGAGAAAGAATACTGAGATAGAAAGGTAACAGGTGGATACCATCAAAAACATTTCATACTGAAAAATCTGTAACTCAGAGATTTTTTTATTCAAATAATCAACAAAAATACCTAAATTGCTAACTAGTTAAAAAACTACCACCATTTTGGAGGATTGTTATAAATTTCTATGCCTTACCTCCCCTTCTAAGATTAAGAAATTAATTTTAAGAGTTACTTAAAAGTTTGGTGAGAAGGAATCATATGAAGTAATATTAGACTTTTCAAGGCAATAGTGATGGCAAGGAGCTACTAGAATTAATTTCAAAAGCTTTTATGTTACCTTTGTCTAAATTTAATTCTCTTAGATTTTGAAAGTGAATTTAAGGTATCAGTCACCATTATTTGTCTTATAAAATTTCTTTTAAGGTCCATAATACAATGGGGGGTTTTGTGATTTCATATAAGTGGCTTATATGTGAATTTAGTGATCAGTACCCTTTAATGTCCAGATTATGGACCAAACAGTTTCTTCTCAGTGGAAACTTAGACCTGTTATGCGTAGCAGCAAGCATCCTGGCATATGCTTGGACAAATTCCTCAAGATGGAAATGGGATGAGGCTGAGATATTCCCTGAACCTCTGAATTCAGAAACTCTCCTTGATGTCCCACAGACAAGGAATTCACAGTAGTGTTTAGCACATGGCATCAATCACTTCTTGTTTTCAGACACAAAGTCTATACTTTCTGGAGTATATTTAAGGAAGGTACGACATAATGGCAGAACAGTGATCTGTTGAGTTTTTTAGTTTGATTTCATTTTATGTTGTTATTCAAGCTGCTCTGAGCAAAGTCTAATCCTCCACAGTGAGGAAATAATAGCTTTATAAGGAGCTTTCAGATACCTAAAGCAGCAGAGCACAAATTTCATAGAAATGAAGCATTACACATCAGAGAAAATTATTAATCCCAAATCACTTTAGAATTTGTCTTAGCTAAATTTCTTCTCCAGGCTACAGTATCTCATTTTTGTAGGCAGAAGGCTAATACTGAGAAACAAAAAGAAATCAATTACAAAAAGATATTCATAAAGTAATATTCCTTAAGGTCTCACAGCAGCAACTCTTTTAACAACAGAGATTTGGCTTTGTGTCTTTAATTTAATTCTCAATATTCCATCTGTGTTTTCTTCCATTACAAGTCTTTTCTACTAGTAAACAATTCCTGTTAAGAAGTGACACCTTAACTACAAAAAGCAGTTTCCTCATTTTTAAGATGGTCTTATTTTCCTATCTCAAGACCTTCAGAAAATTGAGGGGAATTTTCTGGCAATTTACTCCCAGTAAAAGGAATAGTCTGATTTGGAGATTTCTTTGGGAAGTGGGGGATTTGGGATGTATTGACTGGAAAAGAGTGTTATAATATGCTGTAAAGTACTTCCAATGTTATGGCTTGGTTTGCCATATTCTATTCAGAATACTGGGTTTTTTAAGACCTGCTCTTTCTTAAAAACATATTAAAGAAAAAATGCAACTTCAACAAGAAAAAATTGTTGAAGTTCATAGAATGCTACTAATCTTATTACTTTTGGTAGTAACATAAAATTTTAAAGAAGTGGTCGTTATTCAAAATACTTCTATGTGATTGCAAGATGAAAGCCCCATTTATAAATAGATTCAGAAATAGAAGGTATGACCAAAAAATGAGTCATCCTGAGGTAACAGTTTTAGAGTTAAACTTGGGCATGATCTTTAGTCCCATGATAAATGTAACTTCAGCTGCTTTGATATAGGAGATGAATTATCCAGTTACATCACTAACACTACTGGGTATCTGCACAAGTTATAGACAAGCAGATGGCATAATTTGTGTTCTAGATTATCCTATGGTAACTAATTGAATCAATTTGACCGTTGAATTCATTTCAGTCTCACAAACAAGGCACAAAATAACACTTAAATACTTTAAAGCAAACAAAGAAACAAACACCAGGCTTGATTACCAAGGATTGAATGGGATGCAACCCATTGCTTAATGTCCCTAGAGAGTATTACACAAACTCCTTTTCCAGTAAGCAATTTTCAGATCAAAGTTGCTTGGGTTTTTGTTGTTGTTGTTTTAGTTTTGGTCTTGGCTGGTTTTGTTTCTTTTTCTATTTGCACACACATAAACACCTCCAGTGTCAGTTTTTTAGTTAGTCACTTGTCAACACTAGTCTAAGACACACTAAGAGAGCATGAGGTATGAAAATATGCTTAACTGAAATATGACATGATCTACAATTTGCTGAATATCTTCCTCAGGTTTATTGTGATAAAAAGACTGTCTTACTAGTTAGCTCATCATATTTAAAAAGCAATCAAGAAATGCACTTCTCTGCCACTAACATATGTTCAGAGTTAGCTCCCACTCACTTTTTGTTTTTCCTTTTTAATATCAGGAAAATACCTCCCCAACATAATAAGCACAAAATCAACTTGTCTTATTATCTCATTGTGTGAAATCATTCTAATACTGCCACAGGTTTGTTTTCTCTGTATTCTTTGTTTCAGAGTATTTACTAGCAATTTTTCAATGACTATTCAAACCAACCAACCAAACAAACCGTAATTAAACACATTCTTCAACTGGTAATATATAAACTAATATCACTACCAAAAGCACTAAACTTTCATCCAATTTCTGCAGTCCAGAGTAGAATCATGAAGAATTTTTCACTGAAGCCTTCCTTACATCTGCTTCTTTGTTTTCACTGAAAGTCTTGCTCAACAAAACTGACTACGGTTCTTAATTCAATTTGTGAACATCTGAGCTCTTCAATGCTTGGTTGAAGCTAGTGATAGTAAGGCATAGTGTAGTTTCAATAATGTTTCTTTTTTATGATTTTTTAATTCCACCTCTAAGTCCAAAGGTTTCAAACTGTTAGCTGATTGAATGTGTTATATTTGGTAGTTGTTTTTTCTTCCTGAGTTATTCAAATGATGCCAGTTGTCCCATGATCACCATGTTAAATGAGTAAATTGAAAATAAAGAATCACGTAAAAAACTAAACTTTATAATGGAAAGAATTTATTCAGATTTTAATATTTATGGCACTAGACAGTTGTCTTGACTCTAAAATCAAGTAATATATCACAGAGAAATTAAATAATCAATTGTTGCTAGTTCTCTCAAAATACAATGTTACAAAGAAGAAATATTCCTAGCTGTGTGAATTAATATTTCACAAGTCTGTTAAAGAACTGTTTCACTTTAAAACCGTACTAATTCAAAGGGTAGATCAGATTTTTGAAAATTTTATGCAGGACATTTATGACATGCTTCAAAGCCCATGAAATAAAATTATTACATGTTTTTATCAAGCCTTATGTCTCCTGAAAGAAAATAAACAAAAACAAAATCAACGAACCAACCAAAAACAAACAAACAAACAAAGAAACAAAACCAAAACCAAACCAAAACAAAACAAAAAAAAACCACCCCAAACAAAAAACCTGACTCACATGAGAAGCTGAAGATGCAAAGCTAGCCATAGATGCTGTTGTGATCCATAGAACCATTTCTAGCGCCAAAAGTAAATGTCAGTGAAATGATTTGATAAAGTCCTGAAAATCATGTCATGACACCAACAATCTAACATGAAGGAACAAGTCAAATTTCAGAAAAATGTGTGCTGCTGCAAAGGTCGATGGCTACCAGCTCCACTATATGCAAAGATATGTGAGTCATTAGACTTGTTGTGAAAAATATAGACTAGTTCTCATCTCTTTAGAAATAGGCTTATATCATCCCAATGATATCCTCTCAGTTTTGGTTTTATCAGGATTGAAGCCTCGATTGGAAAAATTTTTGATCCCATATGATTGTTGCATTTGGAATATGAGGAATTTGATGTCAGCACAGAAATATAGCTTATAATGTTGACATGACCAGCTTGCACCCAGAAGAGATGAGAGTTCTTGGTTGGTCTTGCATTCAAAACTGGAAACTCACACACTTCAATTAATAACAGTGTCTGTCTGTCCTGTAAGGATCTGATAAGTCATTGCTGAACTGACAGGAATTCCCCAAGACAGTATCTTCTTGAATACCCTGTTTTTGTCTCAATATATCTGGGAATTCAGAAAACAACAACAGTTTTTTTGGTCTCATCAATCACAACTGGTCAGCAAGTAGAGGGAGGTGATTCTCCCCCTCTATACTGCACTTCTGAGACCCCACCTGGAGTACTACATCCAGCTCTGGGACCCACAGAACAAGAGAGACATCAATCTGTTGAACTGAGTCCAGAGCAGGGCCACAAAGATGACTAGAGGGTTGGAGCACCTCTCCTATGCAGAAAGGCTGAGCTAGTGGGATTGTCCAGCTTGGGGAAGGCTCCAGGGTGACCTTAATGTGGCCTTTCAATACTTAAAGGAGGCTTAAAAGACAGATGGAGAAATACTTTTCAGTACAGCCTGTTGCAATAGGAAAGGGGCAATAGTTTTAAATCAAAAAAAAAGTAGGCTGGACATAAGGAAGATATTTTTTACTATGAGGATAGTGATACATAGGAACCGGTTGCTGAGAGACGTTGTGGACACCTCGTCTTTGAAAGTGTTCAAGGTCAGCTTGGACAGGTCTTTGAGCAACCTGATCTAGTGAAGGATGTCTCTGCCCATGGCAGGGGGATTACACTTGATGATCTTTAGATTCCTTTCCAACCCAAACCATTCTATGATTATACAACAACTACGCTCGGTTTTGTATGAGACACTAATTCTGCTGAACACACTTCCTTTTCACTTCAACCCACATGCTCTTCCACAAAAACAATTCCATAAGAGGATGTGTGAGTATTGCATATGAAGACATTTCTTTTCATAGCTCTTTCTACCTAGTTTCACGCATTACATTTTCTTCTCTTCAGTTAACTGAAAAATGGTAGGGAGATTTAGTTTCACCTCTTTTAGGCAGGGCTTTCTCAGACTTGTTGCTTGCTAACAATCTGTCAACTAGGTGGACTTGGCTATGCAGGTTCAGTCCTGACAGCTGCTTCTTGTGACAAGGTGACTGTACTGTTGCACATCACCACTCTGCAGATGAGATTATCTTCCAGCAGAAAAGAAGGCACTAGAAAGGATGCTGTGTTCCCAGGTTTCATTTTTAGCATGTATTGTATGTCATGTCCAGAGCACATAATCCAATCTAGGAGGTGAAAATTCCCTCTGATCCTTTGGTGAACCTGTAGTCATAACAAATCACTGGCATTTGTCAATCTAGTGTGTTTTAGAGAAAAGTGAACACATCTAAAGGGAAAGTTTTTTTTCTTATATCCAGAATAGAAAAAAGAACTGAAAAATAAATGTAAGGATACTCACCCTCAATGGGGGAAAAATGACTTCGGAATTAACTTTAGGATGGATTCTAAAGTTAGGAAGTGTTTCCCAAAGGGAAATAGGAAAGAGAAAGAAGTAATAAAGACACAATTTTCATTGGAGTAATTTCCTACAGACTAGTGAAGCAGCTCAAAACAAACTCCTTTCTTCTCTCTCCACAAAACTATTATTGGCCTGTGTGAGGTAGGAAGCTGTTGTCTTTCTTGGCAAGTTCTCCCACAACTCATGTGACTTCCTTGCTGTTCACAGTAAGACCAGTAACAGTGAAAGCCTCCTATCATCACGTACCTAGTGAAGAAAACTGGAATTTTGGCCACCTCCACTTCAAATGTTGTGCATTGATGATATGGCATTCTGACATTTCCTTGAAGTTTGTAAATCTGCAGACTTTATGGAACTGCTAAATATGGTGCAGCACTGCCACCCAGACAGCAGTGAAGGATCTCAAGCCAAGAACCCATTACCATTTTCTAGAAAGGACAACATGAAGATAAAATGTGATGTTTCTGTATCCATATGGGAGGCCAGCAAAGATATTCACATTCCCACAAGATGTACTCTGTTTATGTGGTTTGACAAATTAAAAATACATAATAATAAAAAAATATACAAATGACTGTATAAAAAAACATGCTATTTTTCTGTAATTTGCTTGATGTTTCAGCACATATACAGAAGGAAAATGGACCATGATCATCTAACATGAACATCTGCATCTTGTTGCTGCCAACAGTAAAGGGCTGTCAGTCCAAATAGGTATAAATAGCCAACTCAAGAACACAAAAATGCCTCTTGCCTTCTAACCTCTGAGCTTCTTCACTACCAAACAGTAGGAAGACAACTTGAACAAGTGATGCCCTGCTGTTGCCCCAGATATCTCCATCTCCTGTGCCCTGAAATTGCTCCAGCTTGGCAAAATAATACTCTCTTCCGTCTGTCCACCTAGAAAATAAGCCATCTCTCTCTGTTCTCTTACTGTTGGAGATCTGTAAAATTACTGGTCATCTCAACAGCATTCTTCAGGTAGAGGAAAAAACTAGAAGACTGATCTTTACAGAGTACTGAAATTATGACTTAAATTTTCGATGGAAAAAACCTTTTTTCAAAGGTAAAAAGAGACAAAAAATTTATATTTCATGTGGAAACCAAAAAAAGGAAGACTCACACATGTAATAGACTGTTACAGGCTGTATCTGGAAACAACACAAATATAGGTACATAAGTAGCTATTTATAGAAGTGTATATATACATACTGATGTATGGCTACATGTATCTATATTTCAAACTAATTAATCCGTTTTGCTGTAATAATGTCCTTTGTTTTTCCATATTTGTCAACACTTGTACAATCCTCTCTATCTGCCTGGGAAAACAAATTCTTCTGCTGTCTTAGAATTTCTCTTCTTTTCTCTACTTTCTGTTTAATACATCCTATCAGAAGATCAAGTATTCTAATACAGAAAACCTTCAAGATAAGTGCAAATAAATATTTTCAAACATTTAAAATATTCCTAAAATAAATTACACACATGGCACATTGACACCAAAGAAGAAACTCTTTAGAAAAATTCACTGAAGGCAAAACTGAATAGACAAGTGACACACTAAAAAACCACAGAAAATGAAAATAATGCACACATTGAAATGAAGGTCCTACCCATTCCATAGCATGAGAACTTAAAAAAATAAAATGAAAGTAATAGGAAAGTGAATGCCATTTGGAAACAAAGACGCTGCTCTGATAAAAACAAACGAACAAACAAAAAATCCCCAAACCAAAACAAAAAAAAAAGATGATAAACAAATAAAGAACAAAACCAAATTATAGTAAGCTTTTAAACCCATGATTTATTGAATCAAATTGTGTAATGATGCACAAGAATTATGATAATCAAAATCAGTTGAAGTTTAAATAAATATCACTGAGATTGTCCTAAATTGTCAACTGCCCTGAATATCAATGATCTTTTCAAATAATCCACAAGTCCAATTTTTTCCACATTTCCAGAAAGAGGCAAATTTATAGAATACATATATAAACACAAAAAGTTTTCAAGGACAAAACCACAGTAAATGAAGAAAGTGTGCTCTTAATCACCTGCACTCCTGCCACTGTAGGTCTTGCCCTAAGAAGTTTCTGATGGGCCTGCTTTTTTATATCTAGATTAAAAATATTTTCATGAGCCCAAGTCTTCATGAAAAGCAAGATTTGAACATGCTGACATATCAAATAAATATGATAAAAAATTTTGCTACCTGATCTTGCTCCTGCAAACAAAAGTGAATTCCAACAGGCATTCAAAATTTGACTGATTGTTTTTCATAGATGCTTTTTACCCCCAGATTGGTCTCTGTCCCTTTCACGTTTCATGGTTCCCAGTAGAAACATTTCGGTCTCCCTTGTTCTTTTTCTCTCTCACAGCTCATTAATGCATTTCACAGCTGCCTACCATTACAAAAAGTGTAGTGCATATGGAAGAGCTGAAAAATAAAATAGAAGTCACTAGGGAAAAGAAAAAGTTTTTAATGGCTACATTGCATGTATGTGGCTCTTTTAGTTACCTAGGAAATGACTGTTAAGCATAATATGATTGTCAGATTAATTCCCAGGACAACAGGTACAATTGAGTGTAACTGATGTAGACGTATAATACACTAAAAATAAATTATTGTCAGCTTTTCATTTTTAAATAGAAAGAAAACCAGTAAAATTAACTGTTGTGATGCATTTTTCAGAGGTTTGTTTTGAAATAAATTCTTGATTATCAGACTTACTTTGCTAGAATGACAAAAATCAATTCAGTTGCTGTAAAGGCAAGTTTATGAAGTGGCTCAGATGGCAATCTGCAAAGTGTGGAAAATCACGGCATAAAAATATCATGACAAAGAGCAAAAGAGTTGAAGAGTTTTGCTAAGTCATCAGCTCCAAACTCTTGCTATAAAAAGAAACTGTCATATGATCTTTCCCATAAATGCATCAAGCTTTGGCTTTAAAGCAAGTTATACTTTTTTCTTCCCTGTTTCTTTTAGAAAACCGTTCCAGAAGCTTACTCTCCTCTAGGATATGTATTGTAGAATCACAGAATGACTTGGTCTGGAGGGGACCTTAAAGATCACCTAGTTCCAATCCCCCTACCATGGGAAGGGATGTCTTTCACTAGACCAGGTTTCTCAGAGCTCCATCCAGCCTGGCCTTCAACACATTCTCTGCTGAATTACTAGTTCAGCTTACACTCATCAGTTCTTGTGCCAGCATTACCTTTTTGCTTAAATATTGATTCTCCAGCATTTATTCCCTATAATATCCATAGGTAATAGTTGTATTTCTTTCAAGGCTTGCTTTTCCAAAATCTTTCAATTTTCTTTTGCCAGGAAAATTGGCAAATTTTCTTTGCTCATTGTGCTCATTATCTAGTAGGCCAGCTCTTCACCTGTTTGCATTTGAACTCCATGTCCTATGGAAAAAAGTGTATTGATTTAAAAACTGACAACAAAGATAGTAAGAAAGAGAAGAGGCCTTTTTGTTGCCTTTCCTCTCATATTATACACTTCCACATGTCATAAATCTGAACAATTAATACGCTCTGGCCACAGCTGCTTATAAGTAGACTTCAGTTCTGAATGCATCTATTCATATAGCCATACATTTTGCTTATAGACACACATTTTCCAGATAATTAGATTCATTTTATAATAGATCAGGTGGCAGAGCTTCTAAAAATCTCTTGACTTTTTCTCTACTGCATTGTTTTCTAACTTATTTCTGTCATAAATTGCAAGGAAACAATTATCTTGATTTATATTTGATTGTACATACACATGTGACTGTTGAGGGAAAATAACCACAGTTAGAACATTTCATACAATCACTACTATTAAAAACTGCTTTGTTCCAGAGAAATCTTAGGAAGCACATTGTCCAATATTTGTGAAGGAAAGAAATTGGAAGTATGTTGTTGGGAGACTGCACTTAAATGCTTTGTAAATTCAAAGTTATCACCTAGAGTATGGTCCTCTGAGGTCAATAATTCACATGTAGTGAAAAAAACCCAGACACAATAACAGAAGCTCTTGGCATATATACTCAATTCTCCCTTTTTGTGTGTGTGTACAGGCATTCTTTCAATTACAGAATACAGATGACATTTAAACACAGCAAACTGCAATTGTAAACCATGCATGTTGAAAAGCTATTGATGGCTAATGTACACCAAGCAACAAGCTTATGGATTGTTCTCCCTTGGAACAACAGAGAGACACCACCGCTCTGAGTTGAGTGCTGAAGAGGAACAAAATGTCATTACTAGGGAATCACAGGTGTTATATTTTATGCTCATCCGTAGGATGACATGTTAAGGAAGACATGTTAAAACAATGCAGTCTGGAGGTAGAGATTATATGACTTATTTGACATCCCCATATTCAGCTGAATCAGGCTAGTTATTTTTATTTCTTTATCCTCTAGAATACCATCAGTCCATATTTCAGGTAAAAAACCCTCTAATTATATGTATATTTTGTTCAGGAAAAGCTATAAAAATTCATTTTGTCACTTTATATCTCCAGGTGCTGTTTTAATGCTCTGTTAATAGGCAAAGTTCAGTGAAAACAGGAAAGAGAAACAAACAAACTGACAGCAAAAAGTTGTTTTGGTTTATAGATCAGCTCAATAGTTAAAACAAAACAAAAAAAAGGGTGGAAAGATCAGTAAACTGGAACCAGTCAGTGACTGTCAGTTCAACTACTGGAATAAAACTACTGGCCCTAAGTGCAAGTGCCTGAAATTATCTGGACCTCTGAGCTCTCATACATAGCCAAGCACTAATCACTGAACCATTTAAACAGGGATTTTTTTCTGTTAATCTCTGTTGTGGAAAACTCATGTTCTCTCCATGTCAAATGGAGAGTATTTGATGTACAGGGACTGGTACAGTGGCTACAGATTTGCATCTGTCTTTACGTCCCTAAATAAAGATGAAAACTCTGATAGTGGGGAAAAGAACCCCTAAGCAACAAGTGGAAAACAACTTCCAAATCCCAGAACAAGTGACTATGATGTCTGATGGAGAGAATGTCCACTCAACAACTGTGAAAAGGCAATGCACTTAGGGTTACTATGTGAATTGGAAATCTTTCCCACATTTCAGGTGCGTTGAGCTAAATTCACTTTTGACCCTTGAAATCTCAAACTTAACTGAACATTAAACTTTTTTCAGTTTGAATCCTAAGCACCAAAGGCTTGTCCTTTTTTTATTTAATGAACTAAGAAAAAACATTGATATTGCAATTCCTCTGAGATAGAAATTCTTAAATAAAAAAGATCTGTCTTCATGAAGAAATGGATGCTCTAAGAGCCAAAAGATTACCAAAATTAAGTTTTTGGTTATATATTCATGGGGTTTTTTTCATAGTTAAATTTGACAATACTACTCTCATATCCTGTTCCAAGTAGCATTTAAACTACTAAAT